CACATCATGCTTCACCACACTCAAAACGCGCATTGCGGCAGCTAAGAAGTGCGCATGAATTTTATTTTTCTGCTAACGAATAGTCAATAGTATTATTGTTTTTTTGTTTTTTTTAACAGGCTAGGAAGCGGGTTTCCCGTTGCACTTCGATCCATATCTTGCTTCACCACACACCAAACCCGCACCGGCCCGCTAAGAAGTGCATGTGAATGGTTTTGTTTTTTTCCCAATATAGATACTGAGGAATATATGTTTTTTTTTTTTCTCAAGTTGAGGAGGGGGGGGGCTCCGCTCCCCCCTCCCGCACCCCCCCCTTACTTCGGATGTGGATCCACATCATACCGGTCGGTCGGTCGGTAGGTCGGTTGGTGCTTGGAGTGGCTCGGTCTATCGGTCGGTGCTTGGAGTGGCTCGGCCGTTAAGTGCTTGGTCATTTACAACGCAACCGTGAGTTCTCGGAGTGGCTTGGTCTGTAGCCTGTAGGTGCTTGGAGTGCCTCGGTCGGTAGGTGCTTGGAGTGGCTCGGTCAATAGGTGTTAGAAGTCCTCGGTCGATATACGTGCTTGGAGTCCTCGGTCGGTAGGCAGGCGGGCGGGCGGGCAGGCGGTAGGTGCTTGGAGTGGCTCGGTCGGTAGGTGCTTGGAGTCCTCGGTCTGTGGGTAGGTGGAATGTGCTTGGAGTGGCTCGGTCGGTAGGTGTTTGAAGTCCTCAATTTTTTTCTTTTTCCCAATATAGATACTGAGGAATATATGTTTGTTTTTTTTTCAAGTTGCGAGGGGGGAGGGCTCCGACCCGCCCCCCCCGCACCCCCCCCGCACCACTTTGGATGTGGTTCCACATCATAGCGGTCGATTGGTAGGTCGGTTGGTGCTTGGAGTGACTCGGTCAGTCGGTCGGTTCTTGGAGTGGCTCGGTCGATAGGTGTTTGGCCATTCACAATGCAACCGTGAGTGCTTGGAGTGACTTGGTCTGTAGCCTGTAGGTGCTTGGAGTGGCTCGGTCGGTAGGTGTTTGAAGTCCTTGGTCGATATACGTGCTTGGAGTCCTCGGTCAGTGGGCAGGCGGGCGGGCGGGCGGTAGGTGCTTGGAGTGGCTCGGTCGGTAGGTGCTTGGAGTCCTCGGTCTGTGGGCGGGCGGTAGGTGCTTGGAGTGGCTCGGTCGGTAGGT